CAGACCCTAAAAGTAGGGGGTGTGGGTAGGCAGCTGGGTCTCCCAGGCCTGGAAACTACACGCTCCTGAGGTGTGTCACTTGGGAGGCCTTTCCTCACCTGGAACTAGTAACAGAGGCCAGCTGCTTTGCAGGTGTGTTGTGAGGGTATCGTAGACACCTGGTGCTCAGCACAGAGGCTGGGACACAGGTCTGGCTGTACTAGCAGGGGCGACCCTGAGCTGTGCTGCGTGGGCGACGGTGGTGTGGATGTGGCAGTCGGTTAGTCCCTCACCTTCCCCTGGAGCATCCAGATGGGGCCCTGCTGTGGCTCCCTAGGTGATTTGCAGCTGGTAACAGTATTGGGATATATGGGCACTGTTTCCCTCGTTTTAAAGTTCTTTGGAATATTTTATGAATATTTGATTTTTTTGTGCCTCATAGATTCATAGCTTTACTCATTCAGAAAGCATTGAATACTAGTCACTCCGGCTCTTCATGCAGTGTCCCTTGACTGTCACTACCATGATCTTGAGCACTGGTTACTGATTTTGTGGCCCCATGTTGTATTGAAGATATCTTTAGGTAAAGTAATTACCCACAAGTGCTGAGTTTTATGTTATAGATGTTTGCCTTGAACATTGACCTCTGTTTATGAAAGAGGGTAAGGGGACAGATATTGCAAATATCGTAAGCCACTGCCCCTGTCATTGCCCCTCACCCCTGGCATTGATTTGCTTTAGTTTCGTGATACCTTTCTAGAAGGTTGTCTGTACCCCTCCTCCAACAAAGTTACTCTTCACACCGGGACAATTTTAAACCTCATACGCAAGGACCTCAGTAAAGAAGTGGGAGCTATTCAGAGGACAGGGGAAAGGCAAAGGATCATCTTGCTCTTTGAATTTTTTATGTTTCCTTTCTATTAGCTCTAACTCAGAATTTCCTCAGCCTGATTCTGGAGGGAGGTGGCTATCTCAAAGAATCTGCTTTAAATTCTCAGCTCCTAGGTGGGAGTCTTAGTCATTGAGCAGAGTAAAATGATGACTTTTCTCACAGGAGGCATTGAAATGTATTTATTAAAGACCATCTTTTTAACTAGGGCGTGTAACTGAGGAAGGGGGCTCTCCGATCACCCACATACTCCTGGTCCATAATGACTTTGTTACCTTTGAAATAAGGGTTACCATCTGTGGCTGTGTTTTTCCTTCTTTGAATTTAATTGGAGGAGACGAGGGTAGCTGCCTCATCATCATTCATGGTCACTGGATTGTGTGTGCAAATTTTCTTTATATTGCGTGTGTAGCCATATGCCAGGCACTGTACTGTGTATGTGACACCATAAGCTCGTTCAGTTTTCACAACACCTTACCAGGTAGACGTGGAGTTTAGAGAGACAGAAGCAAAGGAAGGGGAAGGGGAGAGAACACGGCCAGACCAGTAGAGCAGAATTCATACTTGGGTCTTTCTTGGATGCTTAGCCCTCATTCTTGCTTCCTGTGTGCTCTAAAACCACTCCAAAGTACGGATATAGCTGAGATAGCATTTGTACCAGAGTTGGATGGATGATTTGAAAGGACTCCCCACCCAACAGCCCCGATTTCTGATTCTGAGTAGACAGCCCAGTGTTTACCTACAACCAGTTCATAGGATTGGCTCTGGCCTGCTCCTAGACCACTTGCAGTTGCAGTTTGGTGGTCCTCATGCATTTGCTGAGGTTGTGCTCACCACGCTGATAGGCTGGGTATTGCAGGTGACCCAAAGTTCTAGAAGATACAACCCTTCATTAAAGATCATAGGTACAGCGGGGCCCAGGAAGGTGCACATCTCACCCCAGTAATGGGCAGAATGAGCTGTGTAAATTAAGGACCCTGTGTAGGTCTCGGGCTAGAGGCATGCAGGCATTTGCAAGAACAAAATCCTTCCGTAATCAAAGAAATCCAGGTGTTGACTGGTTAGGTGGAGCTGCAGACAGACCCTGTGTTTGGCAGATGTGACCAGAGTTCCCCCTTCTTGCTTGGCAGCCGGGTAACTTGGACAGACCCGCCTGGTGATCAGTCTGTCAGAAAGGAGGACCGTATCCTAGGAGGACCGTATCCTAGTAGGACTATCTTTAAAATTTTTTTTCCCCCTAAAACCAGACAGCACTTAAAACTTGCAATCCCTTTCCACCCTTTCCACCCACTTCAACATGCTGTAGATATTTGACTGGACAGGAAAAAATTGAGTTGGTAAGGCTCAGATGTGAAGCGTAACACAAGGGCATGGGCAGCTATCGCAAAGCTCTGACTTTTAAAATCACCCTTATTTGTGTATCTGAAAGGAAGGCAGAGATTTAATTTTTACACCCCACATCCAGCTCACCATTGTCCAAATGCTGTTTTCAGCTTTTTCTGTACGAGCAGAGAAAGAGGCTCCCCCACATTTCCTGTTAGCCCTGTTTGGAAGGTAGCTTGGGATTGGTGCTTCCGTACTGCACCACCAGCTCCGTGTCACCAGACAGCTCCTCCCTAACAGTGACAGTAATAATAATTAGTAATCTCACCATGTGCTAAGTCTGCCCCAGCCCTCCCCACGGGTTCTCTAAGAACTAGGACAAGATTTGTGATTAGAACTCACATCTCCTAGCTTGTGACCATGTGGGTCTCTGGCCTCGGGCCAGAGAAAACGCTCTGGGCAGAACAAAACACTCAGCTCTGCAGCTCCCTAGCACACCCAGGGCTCAGTCCTGAGCCCCACTGCTCAATCACGCTTCTGTTTAGATTTCCTAGGACTGGGGATCTGAACCAGTGACCAGCATCCAGAGAGATGCTTGACTCAGCCAGGATTGATAACCACCGGTTTTGCTGCCCATCACCAGCCCTTTCTGTCTCCATGATGGGTGTTACACATTTGCTTCCTTCCGCTGCTTCCGGCCGTCCTGTTTCCGTGCCACCTGATCACTCCTCTGACCCCTTGCTAATAGTCTTCTCTCCTGTGGGGATGTATGTGTTTCTTTCCACTGTTCTCACTAGTTTTCTACACTTTAAACTGTCTGAGATTTGCCTGCTTTATTTTCATATTAAAGGCTAGATATCTTTCCAACCATACAGAAAACTTCTGGAACGTAGTCTTTCTCTGCCTCTCTCTGTCTCTGTCTTTCTCTGTGTGTCTGTGTCTCTGTCTGTGTCTGCCTGTCTCTCCCCCCACCTTCTTCTCTTTTCCCACCACTGTGGGAGCTAAGTTGCTTATTGCTTCTTAAGTGCTAAACAGAAATGTCCTCTAAATGATCTTTAGTCCATGTCCATGAGCTGCTGGCACTGGCCTGGGGACAGCAGGCAGCCCTTTGGCCTGGTGGACAGGGCTCGGCCAATATCTAAGGGGAAGTTTCTGACTTCCAAAGTTCCCTCTGCTTTGGTGGCTTTTAAACTTAATTGTTTTAATTGCAAAATGGTAACCAGCCCTCTGTGAGCCACTAGCTATCCTTTTGCTCTGAAAGAGAGCCGTTGTATATGGGAATCAGTGCAGCAGGCCATTTGGATGTGTTCTTGCTCTGTAGTTCTTTCTAGATCATTTAGGAAGACTGTATTTTTCTTTGCAGGCATAGCTGTGAAAAGTTAGAAACACTTATAAAAATACCTTCCCCACCACGAACCATGGTAGAAAGTGCTCCCCCTATGTTAGTGTATGCCTTCCTTGCCCGCTTAAAAAAAAAAAAGACAAGAAACATGATAAGAGAACTAACCGCTCAGTGGTCTCTGAACTCAAGAGGCGCTAGTGGGCAGCACTAGAACCTGACTTCTTTTCTTTTAATGCAATTCCTTTTCCTTGATGTTAATGCAAGTTGTGCCTTCCTAAAAGTAATAAAAGGAAATAAAGACACGTTCTAAAATGAAACTTGACTCTAATCCATTCATCATCTAATACTAGCCTCTTTATCTTCGCTGGTACCTAATCTGGTTAAATGTCCCTGTTGTAGGATTTTAGTGAAAATCCTCTACTGGGAATAGGGTTTTTTGCAATTGGATTACTCTCAGTAAATGGCCCAGTAGTTCGCTTGTTTCAGCTTAATTTTTTCTTTGTGATCTTGCTGGGCTGAGTTATAGCACAGCATAGAGGGAGGGGGGGGACTGTGCTGAGCCGGGGTAGGGGAAGAGGAAAGTGATTGGAAAAGCCTAGAGGTGGCAACTGGAAACATATTTAAAATGCTTTTTTTTTTGCTCTCTTTGTTTCTCTCCATTGATCCACCCTGCCTAAACATGAAACTGCTTGTACTTTGTTTGCTAGAACTGCCCACTTCTAAAATGCATGCCTTTTATTAGCCCAATTCATCATCATCCAGTTAATTTATTAGTGGTCCCTGATGACTTCCTAATGAAATTCCTAATGAATCAGGGCTGCTGTAATCTGCATAAAATATGCAGGTGCTTGCCAAGCAGTTTAGAGCTTCCTGGTAAAGTTCACACTCCCACCCTAAGCCCCAAAGCTGCAAGCAGGGTTTTTCCTCCCCTCTCTGGGCCGGGCTGCAGCCTGCCCGCCGTTCTAAGCACAGGGAGGGGTTAGGAGGTGGAGAGGGAGGCTGGCTGAGTGGGATCTGGGCCCTGCCGGGTTTCTTGTAAATGAAGGTTTTCCTGGCTGGTCCCCGCGAAGCCTGCCTGCCTCCTAGAGGTCCCACCACGGGGCCCAGAGGTAGGAGCTTCCCCCCTAGGTGCAGGAGCACAGTAGGCCTGGGAGATTAAAGTCCCCACTTCCGACTCACCTGCTGCTGGGAAAAGTGCACACTCTCCGGCTGCAGGATGGGGTGGTGCCGGAGGAGGTATTTGAAAAGCCAGGCTCAGTGGGCAGGTGAAAATGGAAGCACAACAAGAAGTGCCATTTTCAAACTGTCTCTAACTTTTAAACGGGTTGGGGAGCTGGGGTGCGGCAGACTTGAGTGCCTCTCACAAAGCCAAGGTGGGCATAGGCCGCAGGGAACCACGGGCCCTGTGCGCTCAGCGTGCGGCTGCTGGGACGGCCTGACAGTGTCTCTGTTCTTTTCCTCCCACAGTCGAACAAAGTGCCGGTGGTGCAGCATCCTCACCATGTCCACCCGCTCACACCTCTTATCACCTACAGCAATGAGCACTTCACCCCGGGAAACCCCCCTCCACACTTACCAGCCGACGTAGACCCCAAAACAGGTACGTCCGGGCGGGTGGGGAGTGGGTGGAATGGTGCGGAGGGGCTGCAAAGCCTGACAAGGGTGTGGCTTCCTCTTCTCCTTTGAAGAAATCCATCTGTAGGCAGGAAGAACTTTCTTAGAGAGCCCTCTCTGAGACCCTGGCTGTGAGTCCCTTTCTCAGAAGTGACTAGAACTCTGAGTCCCGAACAGACTTGGAAACATCCTCATAGCTCCTCGTCTGCATCTTGGGAGAATAAGACACCTAACTGCGTGGCTTCTCTGAGCTCTGGTCACCTGACGGGGACTTGCTGGTACAAGCATTTGCTAGTTCATTTGGGGTCTTCCCCCTCCAGGAGGGGGTATTGTCAAGCCCATTTTGCAGATGGGAAACTGGAGTTCAGGAAAGTTTCATTATTCTGTCACAGAACCACCAGTGAGGTCTCAGGCAGGAGCTGCCGAGCTGTCTTTCAATTCTTTGCACGCATCTCCTGTTCCTATTCTGATTGTTCATTGACGGCTTTTTCCCCAGTGGGGAGATGAAGAGAAATCAGGGTAGCCTTGTAGCCCTCCCTGCAGCTGGACCCAAGACCAGCAGGCAGCCACAGTGGCATGGTCTTAGGGGGACAGCCAAAGCCTATGTATTTCTTGGAGGCTGGACCTTGTGCTGCCTATAGGCTTCTCTGTCCAGCTTGTTGGTGGGAAGGATGCTTTATAGTACGCGCTCTGTGGCCCTTTCAGGGAGTTGTTGGTGTTGGTTGAGGTGGGCCGCCTGGATGAGACGACCTTTGGTGAATGAAGCCGCACACTACTTGTCCTCCCTTGGCTGTGAGCCCCCTTGGTGCTGGCGTGGGCCCAGCCCGGTGCTTGCGTGTCTAGAGGAAGTGGCCGGGCCCTCCAGCCCCCACCCCCGGGCTGTCACGTGAATGGTAGCATCAGCGTCTCATTTCAATAATGGCAGTACAGGGAATAGCTTTTAAATGGTTATCGTAAAGCATATGATTAACGTCTGTGGACTGTTTACTTTTCCTCTCTGAACATTCTTTCAAGTGTGCAAATGGCTCGGTGTAGGGTCCAAGCCCAGCTAATCTGTTTGGTTTTTGTAATAGAGAAAAAGCAATGTCTGTGTGAAAATGTCACCCAGGGAGACTTAATTTACAGATTAAAAGCTTCCGGAATGAATTTTTTAAAAATGAAATAGTTTTCATCCACGAGCATGCAGCCCATTCCGTTCAGTGTTCCCGTCAGCTCCTCTCTGTGAGAATTGCTCCTAGCTCTCCTGCGGCAGGGTGTGCTCCTTGAGAACAGAAGTATGTGGTGGTATTTGTGTGGTGGGCATGCTCTTGGCCCCCTGGTCTGCAAGTGGGACCAGTGCCCACAGGTGACGCCCTCCTCTAGGGTTAGGCTTCCGGAGCCAAGCACATCAGGCTCCTGCATGTCCCTGTCTGTGCAGTTCTAACTGTCCCAGGGATAAGACACCAGACGGCATGTGATAGTTCTGCAGCCCATCTTCCCAGTGGGCACTTAACACTGAGGTACCTCTTGTGAAAGAAAGCAGGGTAACTTTGCAAGCCACAGCTCAAAAGGCATTAGAGATCAGAGTAGTAACTCTCATGTAGCCAAGTCAGTGAAATTAGAGGGGGTGAGGGACAAGTTCTAAGGGTAATTTGTGTTACTTGTTCACCTACTAGGTGCCAAAGGAATTTGTATTACTTATTCACCTACTAGGTGTCAAGCGCTTCAGTTTTTTTGTTTTTATTACAGTCAAATAATCACGTCAAGTACCTGAAGCCGGGATATCCAAGGTGGCATTTTCAAGTCTGCCTGTTTTGAGCCAGTATACCAGTCCCTCTAGAATGAGATAACTAATTATTTCACTTGAGGCTATGAGCAAAAAATGAGATTAAAAACTAGCTCAGGACACCTCTTAAGACGAGAATCATGAATGAGCTCCTTTGAGGATTCCAGAAGAGATGCTTCTCTTCATCCTTTCCCTACTTCCATCTCCTGACTGCTGCTCTTTCCCTCTCTCCCTTCTGTGTACCTAAAATGCTGCTTCTCCTTCCAGGAATCCCACGGCCTCCACACCCTCCAGATATATCTCCGTATTACCCGCTATCGCCTGGCACCGTAGGACAAATCCCCCATCCGCTAGGATGGTTAGTACCACAGTAAGGAGTTCCATTTTTTAATTTCCTTTTTGTTTCTTATGTGAGCATGCTTATTATTTAGTCTGTGCTCGTGTGTGTGTGTTTGAGGACAGGGCTAGTGGCTAGGATGGGGAAGATGCTGCTGAGGTGGGAATATAAATGAATCTAAAGCCATTCTGATGAGTTATGGATGGTGGAACCCATGGTCCCCAAAGACTGAATGGACAAAGATGTCTTTAAGACAATTCGAGAATGGTTCCCCACAGTGAAGCTGATCATGGCTCTTCTTCTCAGCAAAGCCCACACTAGTGGGCTGAGGCCTCCCTTTTAGGTGTTGCCTATGTAGGGGGAGGGGAGTGGGAATAGAAGCAATCCCATTGTGAAATCCAAGGGTAGGAGTGGGGTTATTCTGTCTGAGCCCCAGTCCTACCCTGACCGTTACCCCCAAAGTTGACAGTGGAAAGTTCTGTCTGCTGAAAATCTCAGCACCTCTCTGAGATTCTTTGCATGTCAAATGCTTCACCCAGCTCTGAACTGTGGGAGGGACAGCTGACAGCCTCGTTGTGGTATGTCATTCAGGGCCTTTCTGCCTGTCTAAATCATCTGACTGCCTTCTACAATTTCAAGGTGTAATTTGATTTAAAATCAAAGCAGAAAGCCCTTCAATGCATGAACATAGCATGTGGAATCTGTGTGCACGCATAGGTACATGTGTGTTCACAAGCCTGAATGTAATATGTTTTGTGATTGTTTCTGTACATATATTTTTCCATGTTTGTCAGTGATCTCTAGTCTAAAAAACACAGGACAATGTGTTACATGCTACAATAAATAAATGCAAGTAAAACTCTAAAATACCAATCTTTGGGAAGACAGCTTTTACTAGCCTCAAGGAAGATAAAATTTTAGAGTGTGATCTACTCTCCAATTTTCTCCTTAACTTTTCTAGGTAAACGATTCTGTACTTTTAAAAAAAAAAAAAAAGATCAGATTATGTGGTACCCATACCAAATACCAGTCCTGGGTGCAGCTTCTCTTTCTTGGGCTACTTATTTTTGCCTGTTCAGTAGGATAGACATGAGCATGAGCTTGTGACTCATTTCTTCCTGCATAGATGGGGCTAACCCTTGACAGTTGTCAGTCATCCTTTGCCCTGATTGGCTAATGGGGAGATACTGAAGCCTAGATAAAAAGGAATAGCCAACTTAGACAACCCTCTGTCAGGAAAAGTTGTGTGTCTTTCATGAGGATGCTATTTTGCATGTTGCTGTATTTTTTAATTATTGTAATGAGGTGTGATTGTCTATTGGTTACCCACAATTCTTCTTGGGGACTCTCCCCCCGGTAACTCTTGTCAACACTTGTTAATTTGACAAAAGGCTACAAATTAAGCTCTGTTAATTTAATGTTTTCTCACCGAGATCTAAATACCGAAAGAGGCCCAAAGCGCAACTGAAGTCCTTTGATTCACTGTACTTTATTTTGGTATAAATTTACATTCATTATTGTTTTCCTTTGGATGTGTAGCCCTCAATTAGTGTGATGGCTCCATTAAAGCAAGCGAGACTTCGCCTTTAATTATTACAACAAAACACCTAGTTTCAGCTTGGGGAGAGGGTCTCTATTGACATAAGCAGAGGTTATAAAATTTAATTAGCCATTCCTATCAGATTTATGGCATTCAAATTGTTCTGTGTTTCTTCCCTTTGATCCTTCCTGTACAATCCCCAAGATTTTTGTTCTGATCAAATGAGAATAAAGCTTACTGTGCAGAGAGAACTTTTCCCTGTTCTTCTTTTCCTTGTCCCCACCCCAAGCCTTGTTTCCAGTCTCTCACTTTGGACCCCTTCTTTGTAGGCAAGGTCAGCCAGTGTACCCCATCACAACAGGAGGATTCAGACACCCTTACCCCACAGCACTGACCGTCAACGCTTCCATGTCCAGGTGAGTTCAAGAATCAGGGTCTTCAAACTCCTAGAAAGTTCTCTAGCTGGGCATCAGGCCACCCAGGGACTGTAGCTCCATGAGGTTTTAATAGTTCAGAGCTGATGGGGCATGAGGCTTTACTTCCAGAAAATACTGAATGCTTGCCTGAACTTCCAAGATAAGTGGTGCCTTCCTTCATTGGATTTTTATGAGCCAATCAATGGAGTGGTATGTTTTCAGAAATTAGAAAGGTAAGAGAAAGCAGTTAGGACATATGGAGCTTTTTAAAGTATCATTTCCCTGTTATCCTATACGGGATAAGAACAGAGAGGGCCTATGATACAAATAGTTTGAGGAATGATTATTCATCTTTGCAAAATTCAAATTCTGATTGAGGGTCAACCAGAAAGCCAGGCACCCTGCCCCACCCCCCAAGTAGCACTGTGCAGGAGAGACTTACTGTGAGCCACGTGGGCACTTTGATGTTTTCTAATAGCACTCTTTTGAAAGGTCAAAAAGCAAAAGATGAAATTGTTTTCAATGGCAGGTTTTACTCGGTCCAGTACAGTATGGCCAAAATATTATCATTTCAACATGGTATCACTGGGCAACAACTGTTAATGGAATTCTACCCTTTTTTGTACTTAGTTTTTGTAGTCTGATGTGTATCTTATACTTACAGCACATTTCAATAACCACTTGTACCTGGTGGCTACCATATTGGCCTGTGCAGCTCTAAGTCTTGGAAAGTTTTTAAAAAAAGTGTGTGTGTATACATTCATGTGTGTTTATATTTAAGCCTATATATACGACATACACACACTCCTCATGTTCCTGTTTTGTTCTCTCTAATTAATTCTGGCTAATTTTTCAGTCGCTGCTAGTTTATTTACAAACTGGTTGGCAGCAGTATGTTTAAGTAGTCTCTAATTGCTCCTAATGATAGTTTTATTTTCTGTTCATCTGATTTTCAGTCAAGTTAATTAAATCGGTGGAGGTTTAGACTTTCCTGATGGTCTGAAACAACCAATCCATTTTGATGATAGCACCTAATTAAATTAGCATGCACTACACAGCAAGGATGCTGTGCCCAGCCTCTCCTCATTCTCTGTGGCCAGCATGCAGAGCCAAGACTAGAGAGAAGTCTAGCGGAGCAGGCCACAATGCCTCTTGCCACTTCTGGGATAGCAGTTTTGGCAGAGGGAAAAAGTGAACATCACACCCATTGAGAAAACACACCCTAGCACATCTAGCATTTATCATTATGCCATGGATATCATATAATTATAAAGATCCATTTCCCTTGTGGGATATATCATCTAAATTTTAAAACCCACATTAGCTAGGCGGGAAAATGCTTTTTTGCGTTTACCCATCCAGGGGGAGGAGGAAGGTTGTGCTCATTAAATAATGTCATCACAACCTCACAGAGCTCGGGAGCGAATGGGGAGCCTCCCAGGAGGACAGCTGCTCAAAATGCACAGCTCGCCCTCCCTGCATCCCTGCCCTTCTGTACCACACCTGGTCATCTCCGGTGTTTGTTTACTCTGCGCATCCCGTGGTCGGAAGTGGTGACACAATGGTAGGACAGGGATTGAGGTTAAGCTTATCGATTGAATTATCATTAGGAGGTTAGTCAGTGATTTATAGGTGGGCAGGGGGGCTTGGAGGAAAGGAAGGCAGCAGAGTGAAGAAAGGTTAGGGGTTCGAGGTGTGTGGGGGTGGAAGGGGGGGCAGCCGATTCCCCAGGTAGGCCATATGAAAGGTAGCTAGTTAAAAAGCGTATACAGCAAATTAAATACATTATTGTGGTAATGGGGCGACAGAAGTATAGGTCTATTATACTTATGGCAGTTATAGCAAATGTAGGCAGCTTGCCCTGTTCCGGAACACCCTTTGATATTCATTCTATTCAGCAGCGGGGCCAGGACTTCTCAGAATTAAGTGATGGGTCATTATACTTTAAACACCATGGAGAAGCCTAGATTGGCAATTAAACAGCTCTTGCTGACACTCACTTGTGCCACCCTGTGACCCCCTTTAGATTGAGATGTTGGAGCTCCGGGCCCTCAGCCTGCTAAATTGGTGCAAGGCTCTTCTCCTGACGAGAGTAGGCTCTGAAATCTGCCGGCTTCAAAGGGAGTGAGATCATGTATAAACCATAATGTGGGTGCACCGTGGCTCACAAAAAATAAGGCAGGAAGAGATGAAATGTTACAAGTGCAAGGGGGAAAATGAGAGAATAATGACAAACCTAATGCAACTCAAAGCAGGATTGTTGCACGGGAAAATGCATCCCACTGCTTGTGCATAAAATCAAGGCCGGCAGATGACATCCAGTTAACAGAAACGTGTCAACAGTGAAGTAAAGTGCGAGGGAGAAAGAGAGAAGCCCCTGAGACAGCCAGAAACAAAAATTAGTTGTCCTTAACAAGTTAAGATTCATCATTATATTCTGGCTCGGAGCCATAAAAGCAGACGGGGGTATATAATGAGCTGCTTAGAATTTTTAGGGTGTTTATTGCATTTCATGAGATAGTTGCTTGCAGAAAGGAATTTCTTGAGCGGAGATATGTGGACAGGCCACATGCTCGTTCGTGCAGTCTCCTCTGCTGTACGTTTTTCAGATGTACGTATGTGTGCAGAGGTAGAGGAACTCAGAACTGTTGGTTCTTCATGGCTGCACCCGAGATTTGTCACCACCCCAAAACATACTCAGGCTGTGCTGTCTTCCCTGGAATTTGGTGTGTGCATGTGTGTGTGCTCGTGCAGTTTTTCTCTCTCTCCCTCTCCGTCTTGTGTCTGTACACATACCCTCATTGTGCAGGAAGGGAACATATGTGTTAGAGGAATGTGAAGCCTTTAACTTACAGTACAGGCTGCCACTCCACCCACCCTTCACTCAAGGACTGCCAAACACATGTTCTTCACTTACATTTCATCTGAGTCCTCAAGCAGTGGGGAGGAACAGGGTGTAACTTGGGAGCCCAAGTGCCTCCCGCGGTTCACTATTTTTTCTTGTGTTTTGAGGGGAAGGGGATGGAGGTGGTTATCCCCCCCCCCACCTCATGCCCAGCCTCACTCCTTGCTTTTCCTTCTCTCTCTTTGCCTTTCTTCTGTCTTTCCTGTTCTCCTCCTCCCCTCCCCGCCCTCTCTACTCCCGTGCACACGCACACCCTGAAAGGACTTGTGTGATTCTTATGAAGAAACCGCGTCATCGCTACCGAAGCCTAGTACTGCTCACGTTTGCAAAGGCAGCTGTAGGAAAGGGCCACCTCAGGATGGGATTTTTGAGTCAGGTGCTTCCAGTGGTCCTGAGGACCCTATAAAAATCCAACACGGTTCACGGATATTTTTGTCTGTGGTGATCTGTGTAGATTCCATGTGTTCTTTCATTTTTAAATCATTTTTCAAATTAACATTTATTACATTATTTTAGCTTAATGGAAACGATGTCCAGTCTACCTATGGGAAGAACCTTAGAAATAAATAGCAGGTTGTTTTGAGATACCTGTCATGAGAAGTCTCATTAGGACCTCTGATTCCCACTAGAATTGGCTCTCTGAAGAGTAAACGTTCTCCCCAGACGGTAGTTGGACCGTTCTGGCGCGGGTTTGTTAGGAAGCCACCGTTGCTTTCCTCTGGACGGCCTCCCTGTCTGCTCACTTGTGTAATCTTGCTGGAGTGAAGCAAGCACTGTACTTCTGTGTTCTTTGGGAGTCTGCCCCTTTAGCCCCTTACCCTGCTTCTCTCTATAGTGTGCGCTACTTTAAGGTGTACGAAGGGTTCCTCCTACCCAGCATAAATCGTGGGGATGCTAAGCATAATCAGAGAACATAAACGCCATTTGCCCAGTCCAGTTGTCAGTTTGCAAATGGGCCAAGGGTAGTTCGAAATTGGCTCCTCATTTCGCGTGAATTTGCGTGGTTGGGAAGTGTCAGTTCAGGGACTACAATGTATTTCAGAGAACTTTTCTAGAAGTGAACGGTATTAGAGAAAACACAAACTATATTCTTCTCTTTGTTTATAATTTTTGATACTCATGTAGAAGGCAGACAACTTATTAGGTAAAAGTGACTCAGAAGTTCTAAATTTTACAGGAGAAAAGACTTAAGAATCAGGAATTTGAAGCTTCATTGGAGTATGTGCTTTTATTGTAACTTCCTATGAAATGATACAAACTTATTTAAAACATCCATGCCTTATGATGAGAACCAAGCAGGGAGTATTTGAATTTTATCCCATCTTCCTTCCTCATTCTCTCCCCACCCTGTCAAATGATGGTCCCAGTGACAAAAGAAAAATAAAAATTTTATTGCCCTCCATCAACAGAATGAGGCCTAATGAGGCAGGCACAGCATTGTCAAAAATGTATGTATATTTCAACCACGTTAATATTTTATTTAGCTGTCAATATACAACAAAAGATTTCACCTTTCATTCTAGAGCTGATTAGGCCTTAGGAAATCGTCTTCTTAGATGCCACTAATCATAATAATGCCTCCCAAAACAAGTGGACACGCGATTTCCGGCAGGTAGTCCAAGCCCACTTTTCCGCCCAAGTACATCAGTTGAATTTGTCTTTTGCTAAAGATGTTTAAAAATCATAATGTCTCATGTCAGGAGCAATAACGTAGGAGAAGATTGGCTTTAATGACATTATGAGAATCATTATGTTTAATTTATCGCTAATTAATGCTGACAGGTTTCATAGGCCTTGTGTTGCTTTCATGTGAATGTTACGTGCTTAGCTTTTCTTTTTTTCTTTTTTTAACTGTGTGTACACATCCCTCCTCATTCATGCATTTTGATTCTGACAATTTACACAGCTTTCTGTCTTCTAGGTTCCCTCCCCACATGGTCCCACCACATCATACTCTCCACACGACCGGCATCCCCCATCCGGCCATAGTCACCCCAACAGTCAAACAGGAATCCTCCCAGAGTGACGTCGGCTCACTCCACAGCTCGTAAGTGCCACCCTGGCCACCACTTCCCTCAGAGCCATAGCGCGTAGCAAAGCCAAGTGCAGGGGCTGCCGTGGTGTCTGCTTTGACTGCAGCAAACAGCCGGCAGCATGGGCTGTGGGCACTGCTGCTCTAGACGGGGTCGGGGTGCTCAGTGGTGGGCTTTACTGATGGTGCCCCTGCGGGTCAGAGCACGGCACTTTTCCCATGGACTGAGATTTGCAAGAACTTGCCTGTCCGCTAACCCTGAAATCAAGCACCTGGAGGGTAGAGCCCGTGGTGCCCTCCCCTCTGCCTGGGAAAACTGTTAGTGAAACTGGAGGAAGTGGTTACAGAGCCTCTCGCTTGCTCCACTCCCTCCTCAAGCTATTTTTGTTGTTCCTTCTTTCCGGGGTGGAGGAGACCGAAAGTGGAAGCACGCTTTTTGTTCAAAAGTGCTGGGCTTGAGTGTGAAGGGGACCGGCCTGTAGTTCTCTGCTTTGCAGGAAGTTGGACTGCAGGGTTGTTTATCAGGCTGTTCTCGTCTGTCTGTTTCTGTCTGTATCCAGAAAGCATCAGGATTCCAAAAAGGAGGAAGAGAAGAAGAAGCCCCACATAAAGAAGCCCCTTAACGCATTCATGTTGTATATGAAGGAGATGCGGGCGAAGGTCGTGGCTGAGTGCACGTTGAAAGAAAGCGCGGCCATCAACCAGATCCTGGGGCGCAGGGTAGGCAGCCCCTCTTCATGAGAGGGACAGCTCGGGTGGCGAAACGTCCCTGTCCCCCTTTCTCTGGAGCGTGCTTTTCCCTCTATCATGTTCTGGAATCCTGACAGTCACTGCACACTGGCACGACATTCAATATAGCCACACCCCCAGAGATGACAGATCGGGTTTTGTCCCAGCACCCCCGTTAGTGCCCATCACTGTGGAATTTGCAGATGAGCCCATTCCTGTCTTGTTGGCATGGGGTGGTTTGTGAAGTTTCGTGTGTCTGTCCTCTGACCCCTGTCTCCTCCAGTGGCACGCACTGTCCAGAGAAGAGCAAGCCAAGTACTACGAGCTGGCCCGGAAGGAACGACAGCTTCACATGCAGCTCTACCCCGGCTGGTCTGCTCGGGATAACTATGTAGGTGGACTGTTTTCCTGGTGACTCCTATCTATCAAAGGGTGGTATGTGTCTGTTTGCAGAGGGAAGGGCGACTGCCGGCTGGAATCAGGCTACAGGGCCATTCATTCTGCCCACTGCTGGGACCATTAGCATCTGGCCCTATTGCTAACCTGGGCAGTCTCGTCCTGGCCTTCAGTGTGGCTCTGATAATCCGCAGTCAGTCTTGTGTGGGCTGGGGAGGTAATCCAGTGTCCCAGCGCAGGACCCTTGAGACCCATTAGGGGCTGTGCATACCTCCTTCCTTGCCCACTTCTTAGATGTGACAGAGCTCTGGGGTACACCTTGAGGGACTTTGGTTCCACGTCAGGCACCCACATTAGCCGCAGCAGTCAGCAGTGTGGCTTTACATAGAAGACTGTAGGTAGAGGCGGAGGGAGAGAGCTGAACTCCTCAGGTCTTCACTTCAGTAGGACCTGCACCCTTAAGAAGAAAAATCAAGACAATTGCCTCAGTGTAGTTGAAGTTAGTACCTGCTTTGTTCTAAAAGGGACATGATGGGAATTTCTCTGAAAGTAGCCTGTGGAAGTCACCCTGGGCAGGACGGATGAAAGGACACTGTGCTCCATGGGGTTCTGAAAGGGTGTCTATGTGATGTGTGTATTTCTGGGCTTTGTGTTGCCTATAGGATTTGCCTGATTTTCTTGCTTGGCTTTTAGGAAGCACCTTGGTGAGATGTTAGTTTTTACTAATTGCACCAACATCCGCAATTCCTGTCTCCAGTGATGGCAAACCTTTTAGAGCTTTCAATGATATGAACAGTCCACTGCGACACACGTGCCGTAGGCTCGCCACCACTGTCCTATAGACTTACTGTCCTCTGGTGACACTGATTCTAGTCTCGCCCTTTGTCCAGTAGCTCAAGTTCTGGGCTGACTCTTAGACTCTGTAGATCAGTGATGGCAAGTCTTTAACAGCTCTCAGTGATAACAAACAGCTGGCTGCAGCAGGCATGTGCCACATGCACCACCGCTGCTCGAGGTGGACGGGATGGCTCTAACTTTTGGACATACTTTGGTTTTATGAGGTGATTTTGCACTTATCCTGAGGGGAACCGAACATCACTCCCCCGTGGGCTTCCTGCCCCTGCTTTTGGGTCCTGGTGCCACAGAGAGCCGTGATACCCGTCAGTGCTTGGGCCCTGCTGTCCTGTTGGCAGCATCCCCGGTGCAGGCACTGCGGGCAGATGGAGGTCATTGAACTCTAGCAGTGGTGAACCCCCGACACCTGGGGTGTTGTGCAGATTCGAAGTTAGAGTGAGCATTGCTGCTCTCGCACCCTGCTGTCCCACAGGAAGTCCCTAACATCTGCGTGTCCCCATGGCCGTGAGTGAGGTTGACTCTTTGCTTGCTCTGACTGGTCTCCTCCTCTTTATCCTCTCACCTCCAAGCCCATGCTAGTTTGTTTGCTTCTCACTGTGTAGACAAGAGAGAAGAGAGAGTAGAGCCTGCTGGGCTTCCCTGCCACATGCCGCCCCTCTCCCTCGTCCCCCACCCCCAGCTGGCAGCACGAATGTGTACCCCGCCCCCAGCCGAAATAGGAAGCAGCACTAGTCCTACGCTGATGCTCGGTCACTCTGCTGAGAGCCCTCACTGCTGACGGACAAGCATCACTGGGTGACTGCTTGGGACCTTTCCCTTCGTCCTCGGCATGTGAGCAGTGGGGGAGCCTTTCTTCTAGAGCTGAAAGGAAGAGGATGAGAAAGCTCCTGCCCTCCCACCTGACCCCGGGGTAGAGCTTTACAGTGGCAGCTCCTCCTCAGCCTGCACACACAGCAGTCGTATCTCTTCAGGACCGCGGCACTCGTGATTTAGGGTCACAGGCTTAGTGTTCATCTTCGGCTTCTGCCTGCCCGGTTCTTGGGTGATCTAGAATGGTACCACGTAGCTACCAGATCTCCAGTGGATAGTTTGGGTCGCAGTAGTACCTTCACGTACTGTTGCACGGGCTGTGCGCTTCTCAACCCTAGGGTGTGCCTTTTACAATGGGGTCTACACGGACCGTGTCCCCTGGCCTTGTGCAGAGTGAAATCTCTACAAGGAGACAAGGCAGACTCTGCCACAGCATCAAAGGAATGTGGTGCCTGACTTGCCTGAGAGTCACTTAGACAAAGTGTTCCCCGAGGCTTCTCTCGGATGTGCTTTCTAGGTTTCAGAAGGTCGGTGAGGCGCTTGACCTGGCTTCTGCTCGGTTCTACATTGAGAAGGTGGTTTGGTGTAAGAGCAGGACTCCTGAGAAGATTCAGAAGTGGGCGTGATGTGGAGCCGATTCCAGAGCTGCAGAAGCTTTATCTCTTGAAAGGCTGCTGTCAGATTCCTGCTTTGATAGCCTGTAACACGAGTGTGAACACACACTCACACTTTCCTTTTGTGTTCCAGGGAAGAGTGACAGAGTTGAAGGTTTTGTGGGTTTGATTGTTGCAGAAACTTGTTAGTATTTCTTTCAAGCCTTTTTTAAAATTTTGAAACAAGGTCGCATTTAATTGCTAAGTTGCCTGGGCAGGACTCAGAGTTTTGATCCTCGTGCCTCAGCGTCCCCAGAGTGCTGAAGTGACAGGCTCGTGCCACCATGCCTGGCTAGTATTTCTTTTCAACTGACTTGACCTCAGAGTTTTTGCACATTACTTTGGTCATTGCAAAGCCCAAGAGTGTCCTAGAAAATGTTTTCCAAGGTAACTGCATGCTTCTTCTGCACTCCTGCTCTTTCAGCCGAACAGTGACAGAAAACTTTATATGACCACCTGAGGAAAATAGGATTGAGTCATATAGTCACACCTGGCTTCTCAGACTTGGTACATTCTTTAGAGCCCAAGAGAAACATGTTGAGTCCCACAGTAATAGCTGGCCCTTGGTGTCACATTAGAACATTACTTTTTTCCTGACTCTGCAGCCTTAGGCAGAGGAGGTACATCCTACACCATTTGCTCATTGGGGTCTTCCTGTGGGTACCCAACCCCTGTCCTCTAGATGCCTTCTGTCTGAACAGCATTATTCTTGGCCCCACCGTGTTCCCTTGGTATCCTAAACAGCAGCTCCCACAGACTATTCCACAAGGATGTGGAAATGGGTAGATGAGATATTGTGGAGGATGCGGGCTGAACTTCTGTTGAGTTTTACTTTGAGTCTCTGAATCAAGAAAGCCAGGGGGCTCTTGGCTCTGGGCTTTTGTGTTTTGGTTGCACACCAAGGCACATAGCATGCCTAAGTAGAAGCACCCCAGAAGCCACAGCTCACTCCGGTGCTAGCCCCAGTGAGCAGAGATGCTCCTGATGTGGGTGCTCACCGCCGGCCGTGCAGCCCAAGCTCCACGCATCTGCACTGTGGTTTCTTCTGAGCCCAAGCCGTTCTCAGGGTTTCTGTCCATCACTGGCCTTTTCTCTTTGGTGTCCACATCACTGTAGTGTAAGGGCCAGGGAGGTGAGGAGGGGGCGAATTTCAGACCCAGAACAGGCGGTCACTCCATACAGCTGCCCGCAGTGTGAGGCCTTGTCCTCCCCAGCACACTGCCAAGGTATCCGGGAGGGTCAGGCCCAAGGAGGTGAATGATTCTGAGTAGTCTACCCCTTTGTCAGTTGAAACAGCTTCCTGCAGGACCAGGCAGTAAATAGCAGGCGGCAGAGCCTGCGGTGGAGGCTGCCGTGTGCAGGGCAGCGTGTTCTCACCCTGGCCCACCTCCAGCTAGCTGTGGTACTGTAGGAAAGTCACCTCACCCTCTGCGTGTCAGTGTCCTCATTTGTAGAATTGGAATGGCAGTGCTGTCTGCTGTGGAGGGTTTTGGGGAGGAGGAAATGAGTGGATTTGCCTGGATGGGTGTGCGGTCCTGCTTGCTGTGCAGACAGCCCCTGACCAGGGATGGTTTGACTTAGGTTTTTCAATGCTGTGCTATAAAATGGGCTTTGTGTACATGGTGTTATAAGATAGGCTTTCTGTAGGGCGATTGTGCCCCCTGTATGGCAGTGACAGTGTTCTGAGCATGTCTGAGGTGAGTTAGGCTAAGCTGTGACATTCCCTAAGTCAGGTGTGTTTTGTGCGTTTTCAGGTTATGATATTTTTCACTCTTGATGGGTTTCTTGGGATGCTACCCCATGGGTGGTGGAGGAGCATCTGTATAAGACAGAGGGGGTTGGGGGAAACTTACCTTGTCCGGTGGATGTCCTCCCAGCAGTTTGGAAAGGAACCCGGATAATTCTTGTTCTATCTGGCCACCTCCCCCAACTTTTAAAACCAAGCACTGCAGCTCTGAGAAGCCCCTACCGCAACTGGCATTTTCTTGATACCAAATAAGGACACTTTGCCTTTGTGCATGAGATTTGAGTGGGAAAAGTGGGGTAGCTCCCTAAACATCTCTGACTATCACAGCATCCCTTTGGCCTCAGAGGTCCACTCTAGACTGCTTCCTGGCCTGGCCCTGGCTCTGGGCCTCCCCTGCCCAGCCCAGGCACAGGTGTGAAGAGGTCTTCCACTGACCTTTCCTCTTCTCCCAAGAAGTGTGCCCCTGCAGCTGGCATGCCATTCTAGGACACTGAGGGTAAAGGGGCAGGGTGGTCCCTTCTCTGCCTTCTCCTTCCAGGTGAGCCCAGATGCCCACCTCCTGGCTGTTAACTGAAGTAATTCCCTGCTTTTCATCTGCTCATTTAGGGAAAGAAGAAGAAGAGGAAAAGGGACAAGCAGCCGGGCGAGACCAATGGTGAGTTACAGTGCTCGGGGTGACAGAAGCAGTGGTAGGTGGGGGTCCACTCCCATGTCAGGCTTCCTTCTGGGGGAGGCAGGAGAGATTCAAGGCCAGGACATTGTGGGGGCACCCATCTTAGCCAGGCTTTTTGTTTATGCACTTTAATTAATTGCTTCACGACTGCCCTTTTAAAGCTAGTAACATCCATTGTTGCATGAAAAGCACATTGTAATTCTAGTGGAATGTGTTTTTAAATAACTGCAAAGCCTGTAACTGGAGAGCGAGCAGTAGGCATGCCTCTGCCGGGCTGTAGCCAGTCTGCTTATTTTGTATGTGTCAGAGAAGAGATGGGGGGGTGCTAGGGGAGTAGGCGGGGTGTGTGTGTGAGTGTTGGATATTAACTGGGCTGTTCTGAATGTTTGATGCATGCCTTTACAGTGGTAAATTGCACCCATTTTAAATTAAGGAGGTTTGTCATTCTCTAGAAGAAATTAGAAATACTGCATAGGCAATCTGAGAGGTCCCTTGGAGAAGACCAGGCTTTTACAAACAAACCAACAAAAATTTGAAGGCTTTGTATAATTTGTTCTTTTTTTTCAGAACACAGCGAATGTTTCCTAAATCCTTGCCTTTCACTTCCTCCGATTACAGGTGCTAATGTCATTTTGAGTCATTAAAATAGTTGATAAACTGTTTTTTAATTTTTCTTGCCATTATAGTTTTATTAACATTAAACACGTATGACATTTGAACATTCTTTAAAATGACCATCTACACGGTTTCATGTTTCAGTAGATTTTTTTTTTCAGTTGCTTTTGTTGCTTTTTGAATTTAATTTAACTTCTGTTTCATTTATTTATTTATTTTTCCCATAACAGTTGTTTAAGCAGCGATGACAGTGATTTAGAGCTGAACTAACTGTGCAAATTGAATATGCAGTATTTCTTTAAAAGAGACTGGTAAAGAAAAAAAAAAATGGAAGGAATTCAGTCATAAACCTCCTTAATCTAATGGCATTTTTTTTCCATTGCTCCTACTAAGTTTCTCATGCAAGCATGCATCCGCAGTATGATTATTTTTTCCTTTGCTTTTTTTTAATTTTAGTTTTTTTCGTCCTTTTGCTTTTCTGCTCATAATTTGCAAATCCACTTGCATTTTACTGACTGTGCCTGCTTCCACGCTGCTGTGAGCTTCTAACTAACTCCTAACAGCTCGTTCACACAGCCTGTTTACCTCGATCTGTTCCTCTTCTAGTGTTAATGAAAATAGATTTTTTTAAAAAAGATACACATTTCAAAAGCTGCAATATCCCAATACCACAACCCTTTTCTTTCTTTATTTCCTTCTGTTTCATTTTGTTTTGTTTTGTTCTTTTTATTTGTAGTTTTTTTTCTTTTTTAAACTATTATACTCTGAGAAGAAAAAAGCATGTTACAAACTTAATTCCCTCCTTTGCTTTATTTTCTTCTTTAAGAAAAAGAATATTGAGAGGCAAAAAGGGGGCGGGGAGAGCAGAACTAAAAAAGAGGAAAAGTAATTGGAAAGAGTGAGTTCTTCAGTGTCTAACTTCCCTTTGTCAGCTCAAACCAAATCGAAGACACAGTCCTTAAAGAAGGGATACTGCAGCTTTATTTGCAACAGCTAATTTCACAAGTTGAATAAGAATGTGATTTTTGCCATTTTTTAATTAAAGAAAGTTAAAAAACGAAAGTCAATATTTTGCCTTTAGTAACCAGGTCATTGATTTATTCCCTTTTTTATTTTTATTTTTTTCTTATTTGTATCTCTCTCTCCCCCTCCCTTCCCTCTCTCTCTTTCTCTCTCTCTCTCTCTCCCTTTCTCCCATGTCCTCCTCTTCTGCTCGCTCCTCTCTTGAACTCATTCAGACCTGAGCGCTCCTAAGAAATGCCGAGCGCGCTTTGGCCTTGATCAACAGAATAACTGGTGCGGCCCTTGCAGGTGTGTATAGTTTCCCAGATTCGCTGTGCTGGTTTGCAGCTGGTCTCTTCCATTCTTCCCCCTTCTCTGGCCTGTTGCTTCGTAGCTCTGTGTGTGGATCGTAGGAGACACAAGGGAGTGGGGCACTGCCAAGTGTGTGGGCTCGATGAGGGATGTGCTTGTTTTCTGCTGCTGCTAGCCAAAATGCCACTGTAAAACAGCATCACGTTTGCCTCCTCGGGTCAGCCACTCAGACCCCAGCGCGCCCTCTCCCAGGGAATGTTGCCTGCCAACCCCTTCCTTGTGACAGCCCAGGATCCTTGTCCTGGCCTAGGTAGAAGCAAATGACGTCACTTTCTCCCCTCCTCTTCTCTCTCTCTTTTTATTTATTTTTCATTGTTGTTTTTTGGTTTCTGGTTGTTGTTTTTGTGTGTGTGTGTTTTATCATTTTATTTGATTTTTTTTTGTTTGACTCATAGAAGTCCTTTCCTTTCATGCCCTTGGTGAGGGACGCGTATCCGATAGAGCCAAGGTGATGTAGAAGACAATTAATCTGTAGCTGAGATTTCACGTCCAACTGAGCACGACCCACCATTGTGTTGTGTTTTTTGTGTTTACCTTATGCTAACAGATGCAAATACTCCAAAGAAGTGTCGGGCACTGTTCGGGCTTGACCGACAGACTTTATGGTGCAAACCGTGCAGGTATATAATCACTGCGAGGCCTTTGGGAAATCAGAGCATTCTGTCCTTCTGGTATCTTAGTGTGACAATTTATTTTGACCTCCTTCCCATCTACTTCTCCCACTGGCATCAATGACTAATGAGCCTCATTCTTCAAATTTTTCTTGCTAATTTCATGCTGTTTCCTCTCCCCACTTTCTCATTCTCTCTTTCCTCCCCCTGCTCTAACAAATGACATACGGTGTATATCCCTGGTGGCAGGACTAAGACCACAGCCTTATTAACATGGGCACTGGCCCTGAGCATAGAGAGACCCTGCTCCCGAGTTCAGACTTGGCAGTGATAGCATTCCCGTGCACTCGGGCTCCAGGCTCTCGGAGAAGTGCACTGGGGCAGGCTCCTCCCTCTCTTCCCGTTTATTCTATTTTGCCTCTTTGGTTGTTTTATGTTTGAAAACAGCAGCTGTCTATACAGAGGAGCTTGGTTAGCTGACATTGTTTTACAGAAGCGTGGCATTGAGTGGCATGCACCAGCTAAAGGGCTGCAAATAGTGGGACCTGCAGGTTTAAAACATACATGTATATCAATTTGCACGTATGTAGCAGTGAACTACATCTCCTGAGAGCCAGGTCAATCCCGAAGAGTCCAAACGAAGCTCTCACTGCCCCCACCCCCACAGGTCCCCACCCAGCCTGCTTCCTCAGAGAAAGTGTAGGTACTTTCTTCTTGGTGGAGGGATGCCCACTAGATCCTGTCTGGTTTCTTTTCCTTTAATGACCACCTTCAGTTAAATTTGTTGTTTCTTTGTTCTGATACAAGCAGTCTTTGAATTTGGAATATTATGATGGTAGGTATCTCGACACCCCAAACACGCGTCCCTGTTTGTAGTGCCTTCCTTGTCACGTGTCCCTCTCCTCCATGCCTCTGCCATGTGCTCCATGTCTAGACGTTAGATCAGATGTTCATCCCATTACGTGCATGCCCACGAGTCTGCTGTGGTGTCTCTGCTCCCCTGCTGGTGCCAGTATGAGAGCCCGGTGAAGTGCGTCTCATGTAGTGGAGAGGGCCCGAAGGTCTCTACAGATAGGGACATGCACACGCCCTTTAGATGGCCACTCCGTGGGAGAGGAATTCTCCAGTCCTGTGAGGCAGCAGTGTTCACAGAGGTGACAAAGGTCCTGTCAACACAGCCCTGGTCCACAGAAAGGATCGCATGCCCAAGTTGACAGAGTTCATTAGGTGTGTGCTTAGGAGGAGCCAAAGAAGATGAGGCCTGTGTTTATTCTCTGGAGGGCAGGGAAGCCATCAGCATTTTGTACATGCAAAGGGGAAGGTGGCTGGCCATGGAAGCCATGTCCAGATGATGGCTGAGCAGCCCTGGGGGACCCCCCACCCCACAAAGAGAAGCTCCTCGTGCTCTCTAGCTACACACAGCCAGCGTTGTTGGCTATGGCTCACAGTCAGGCTGGCTCAGGTGCCCACTGTATTTTACCCATGAGGGTGGCTGGTGGTTTATGAATCCCTTTCTTGTTTCAGAAGCTGTTGCAATGAGTTAGACTTGGCCGTGTTTTTTGGTTGTTTGTTTTTGTTTTTCACCTTTCTAGAAGTAATTACTAACTCTGATCCGGACAGACATCCTTCCCTCAGGTCCCCCCACCACCTTGCTTTTAAAGCCTGGGATGGATGTCTTCCCCAGAGATGAGAATTTTCTTGGTATTTTTACCAAAAAAGGAAAAAGTTCTGCCAAGCACAAAGCTATGTAGTTGCTTCGTGTGTTTGAAGCATGGTTTTCTGCAGTGCAGCTTCGAGGGTCTGACAGTACCACGCTGGGAGCCCTTCTGTCCTAGAGGCCCACAGGCCCCTGGTCTTCCTGAGACCCTCACCATTCCCCAGCCTCACCCCCCAGAGCTTCCCCAGAAGCCACTTTTCCTCTGTTGGGACGTTTTTTTCATACCATGATATATTGGCAGATTTGTAGGTGTCACTCCAGAACAGAGTCAGGAAGAAGGCTTAGTTTTCTTTCAGAATACGCTAGAGCTCTGGCCCTGGCTGGAGATGGAGACTAGATTGGGTGACTAGGAATGAGAGGTTTGGACAAGTAGTTACCTGTCCCCTTGCCCCAACTGTTCCTTTCAGCTGTGCCATTACCATGTCTGGCTTGTTGCTAAAATCAATAGGACTAAATAGGCTTAAAAAAAAGAAAGAAGAGAAGAAAATGTAAGAAGCAGTTGCAAACTGAGACATTTTCCGAGTCACCAGCGACGTGTGTGTGTTCCAGCTGCCCTGTGCTCGGCCCTGTTGGGGGAGCATCGCTCTGTCATCATAGTCTTCATGTCCAGTGTTCCAAATGCCCCCATCCCCGTGATTTGGAAACATCCACACCATAAGGAGGTTGGGAGGGGCGTGGAAAGCCCCAGAAGTGCTCCTAGCCAAGCAGGGCTCCTAGCTTGCCACACAGGGCTTCTAATTCTATTTGGCATTTGAGGACATTTTAACCAGACTCTGTTTTGAGCCCACCAAGTTGCTTTCCCATCCTTTCTCTCTGCCTAATAGAGCCCGGAATGCTGCTTGATGCCACTCCCTTGTCTTCCTGGTTGTCCCTCCCTCTCTTTTGCCCTCGCCTCTCCTTTCCTCTCTCTCATTTTCCCCTTTTGCTTTCTCAGTTTTGCTTATGCCCTCTCCCGCCTCCTCCTCCTTTCCGTACCCCATTTTTAAAATGCATGGACATCTTAGTTTTTGAGCATGTTTTGATCTGCAGGCTAAGGTGATTTAAAACAGAGGCTCAGTTACTGTATCTACCTTTCTTCCTGAGACAGGCGCAGAACCCATAGTCTATGCCAGTCTGTCCCAGGGAGGAGAAGGAACTTGGGTAAACTGACTGAGGGTGAAGTGGGGTCTACTTCTGCTTGCCCACACTGCTTCTGACCCAGATGGGACAGAAGGACCTGAGGCCACCAGCCCTACTGGGCCTTAGCCTCTGGGAGGCAGGAGGACCAAGCATGTTCCCTTCCATTGTCCCCTCCTTCCCTCCCCTCCTGCCGTCTTGCGGAGTCCATGCCCCGTGCACTGACGGACAGGTCAGATCGCTCTGGAGCTCAGCCCGGAAGATGATCGCAGTACGCCCCTTCCCACAGAGGCCAGCACTGCCGCCCAGCAGTGGCGACATTCATGGAGGCAGCATCTTGGCTGCTCTGCAGCAGCGGGAAGCTGGCCAGTGCTCCCATACTTGTTTGCAGATGGTGTTCCCCGCCATGGTTCTGACTGTACCTCAGGGTCCTTGGATGAGCACATTCCCAAATCTGCATGATTTTCATAGCATTAGTGAGTCAATCACCAGGATCTCCCTTCCTACCAAGTAGGATCCCATTAGGCTGGGATTAATGGTGGGAGAGGCTTTGAAGTCACATGCCCGATTTCTTGAGTTGATTTTCCCTGACCTCATCCTTTGATGATAAGGAAGAAAGGCTCTGACATTCACATTCCTATTTCTTACATGAACAGGTCGTGGAGAGGGGCGATTCTGGTTTTGGTCAAGGCAGAGTTAGTCTTTCTGGTTCAAACACTAGTCACAAGAAACCCAGCCCAGGAAGGTCCATGCTGCGGTTCCCTGGCACTTCTTCTTGGTCATCACTCGCTGCGCCCTCTACTTGCTGGGACAAGAGCAGGATGCCCCTCCATCCCATCCTCACCGCTTCTCCTTCCAACCTTCTCACTAGGGGGTGGGGGAGGGGGAGCCCCAAATCTTTAAAACAAACAAAAAAAAACCCCAAAACTAAAAAATCAACTTTGAATCATAATTTAATCCACAACCTGCAGGCCATACAACCAGTTATTCTTGTTCCTTTGGATCATTTTCTGTTTTTCTTATTCTTCCCCTCCCCCACCTTTGTTTATCCTCTTCTACCTGTTTTTGGTGGTTTTTTGGTTTTTTTGTTTTGTTTTGTTTTGTTTTCTTTTGTTGATTTCATTCTTTTTGTTTTATTTTGTTTTATTTTTGTTCCCCACCTCCCCTCTCACCTGATTCTGACCTCTCTTGATTTGGTGTGGTTCTTAACAGACAAGCCCGCAAGCTCTCTGGGCGCCAGCAGCCTCCCGGTGGTGGTGTGTTAAAACCTTTAAGCCTCTCGCTAGTGCTGCCTTCAGCTCTGTGGGCTCCACAGCCAGCATTTTGAGAGCTTCATATTGATAAAGAGGCGGCTGGGGAAGGAGCTCTGTCTTTTCTCTTAAATGCACACACGTACATGCACACGCGCACACGTCATCGGGGGCTGGGGGTGGCAGTGGTGGGACCTGGGGAGGGAGAGCAAGCAAAGGCGATGGGGAAGTGAAGACGTCTAAGTCCAAAAAAAAAAAAATAAGCTTTTCTGTTCATCTCACTTTGGACAAAGCCACTTATTGGCAAGTGGTCCACTGTCTGCAGGTGACTGACTGCCAGCCTTTCATCTGCTCCTTTATATTTGGGCAGGGTGGAAATGTGGATGTCTAGCGGGGGTGGGGGGCAGTAGAGTAGGGTGCATTCGTAAGTGTTCTGCATGGCAGAGCAGACGCAGACAAGGGCATGGCTAAGGGAACCTGCAGCCCGGTGGTGTCACTGGTCACCGGGCCTGCTGTGCATTGGGGCATCCGTTAGGTGACTTCAACTCGGCCGTGAGCATTAGATAACCTCTCCCTTGACATCTTTGCCCTTTATTCACAGATAACTCTCTCCCCCTGTTTCTAGGAGAAAAAAAAAGTGCGTTCGCTACATACAAGGTGAAGGCAGCTGCCTCAGCCCACCCTCTTCAGATGGAAGCTTACTAGACTCGCCTCCCCCCTCCCCACACCTGCTAGGCTCCCCTCCCCAAGACGCCAAGTCACAGACTGAGCAGACCCAGCCGCTCTCGCTGTCCCTGAAGCCTGACCCCCTGGCCCACCTGTCCATGATGCCTCCACCGCCCGCGCTCCTGCTGGCCGAGGCCACCCACAGCAAGGCCTCTGCCCTCTGTCCCAATGGGGCCCTGGACCTGCCACCTGGCGCCCTGCAGCTGCCCATCGCCCCCTCCTCATCGCTCGCACAGCCGTCAACATCTTCCTTACATTCCCACAACTCGCTGGCCGGGACCCAGCCCCAGCCTCTGTCCCTCGTAACCAAGTCTTTAGAATAGCTTTAGCTTCGTCAGCCCTGCTTGGTTTGAGTGTTTCGTCCTCGGTTCTCGGTTTGCGCCTCCTCCCACCTGGAAAGCTTTTGTTCTGTGCTTTTTAATTTTGTGCCACGTGGCTACATGAGTTGATGTTTATCGAGTTCATTGGTCAATATTTGACCCATTCTTATTTCAATTTCTCCTTTTAAATATGTAGATGAGAGAAGAACCTCATGATTCTACCAAAATTTTTATCAACAGCTGTTTAAAGTCTTTGTAGCGTTTAAAATATATATATATATATATACATATATATATATACATAACTGTTATGTAGTTCGGATAGCTTAGTTTTAAAAGACTGATTAAAAAACAAAAAAAGAGAGAGAAGCAATTTTGAAGCAGCCCTCCAGAAGGAGTTCTGTATTATTTGTATTAAATATGAGCTTGCGAACCAATCATTTTACACCTGGTTTTTAAACCGTAGGGGCACGACGAATGCAGTGCCATTATTTTTTTTTTTCTGTGTGAAACAACTTTTATTGTGATGTTACTTGTTATTGTTTAAATGTACAGAAACAAAGGGTTAAAATGTGTTAATATACCTTGTTCCATGGTGTTGTTCTTTTGGGGGGGAGGGGGATACTACTCAACAATTAACGGAATCACAGCGCTGTTGGACCAGTAGTATTTATTGCTTTAGAGATTGCTTGTCGTACCTGTACGTTGTCCCCTTTTAAAATATGTTTTCCTTTTTTCTTGAAACTGTATAAAGTTTTTTTCCCCCTCCCCTTAGCATAAGCATCTTATATATAACAACTCATTTGTACAAGGTTTTTAAGTTTATATATAAAAATGTGTATATATTTTTTTGTTTCCCTTTTTGACCTCTTTTTTTGTTGGTTTGTTTTTCTGTATGAAACCCAGATGCCACCAAATGGACATTCATAGTTGCATTAAGGATCAGTAGCATTAACAAAAGTTGCTTTAAAAGCCATTATGTAAAACAAGACTTGAACGTTAGTGAGGGAATGCTAGCGATGCTGTCTGAGCACCCGTGGGAACTGCCCTTGTTTCCCTTTTGAACTCCTAGTCAAATGCCCTGCGCCCTTAGGAACATGGACTGACCGTGTGCAAAACTTTTATGTGCCAAAACTCTCAGTGACTTTAGCTTTCTCCCTCTTTTTGATGCTGTACTTTTTGTTCATCATGTTTTGCTGTGATGTTACATAGGTAGATTTGTATGTAGTTTTAATGTCACCTATAACAAAATGTGTTTGGTAGCAGATTGTCCAGAAAGCATTTTAAATGAAGAGGTATAAACCCTTAAGGGCCAAAATTCTGTATATTAGATTACTCTTAAACGAAAAACCAGCTGCCGCTTTTATGTACACATATTACATACAAGTAGGTAGCGAACTTTAAAACTAAAAAAAAACCTAGGCATGTTGATGTTGCAGAATGCTGTATAAAGCTGAAACCTGTTCATTCAGTGCCATTGTAGTTGACATGAAGCGATTGTAAAACTGTCTCTGATTTTTCTCTGGTTTATTAAAATGCTAACTATAACATTTTTTGTGAATACTTTGAATGTTTCCTAACAGTTGTGATGTTACTGTTCCGTTTTATGCTCTTATTCCAAGTTCATTTTTAATGGTTTGAAAGCCATTTTTGTAATGAATAAATGTTCATGCTGTACAGTATCTGTAGCATGCCGTTCTGGATTAATAAAAGCAACTTAGTATGTGCAGATAAAGGCTGGTCACTTGATTGTGTGATTTGGACTTGAAACCACCTTAGGAACTGGACCTACCCTCACCAGAAGCAGTGTGTTTCTGTGCCTAGAGAGAGACCATGTAGCTAGTGTGTGGGTGGTGGGTGGCAAGGGGATGACTTCCGCATCCTTTCCTGAGGGGGTGACTCATTTCCTTCCCTGATGCCCAGCTGGTGTGGCTTGGGTGCCTGGTTTGTATCGTGTGTCACCTGCAGATTACCCATATATCACGAGGTCCCTGGGGTGTTTTCCCCGTATTCAGCTCTGCCACTATCAATAAATAGTGCGGTTCTGAAAGTAAAGCATAATTGCAGAGCAAATGTCACTGATTTGGCTATCACAGCAGTTACTCTCATATATCCTATTCATCCCTCCGACAGCGTTGAGCAGAAAGGATTTAATTCTGGTGAATGAGACTTAGCTCAGGGAGCATGGACTTAAGAAGCCACATGGTTACCGCTTGGTTATCATGGATGAGGAAGTATCGTGACTTCTCAGAGCTGCCTGCAGGGAGAGATGGAAGGGTGTCAGATTGCAACCCTTTCTCTAGCAGTGAGCCACTGAACAAATAGCTTGTTACAAAACTAAACAAATAGCTTGTTACAAGATTGGATTGATGTGATTCTCTTAGCGGTGTGTGTGTGAAGGAGGCTTACTGTCTGTGGGACCCAAGTTCTTGGCTGTGCCCTGGCCAGAGTGTGAGGTCCCCATCAGCAAGGGGAACTGCAGTAAAGATCTTCCTGTGGTGGGGCTGGGGATTTAGCTCAGCGGCAAAGCACCTGCCTGTCAAGCGCAAGGTCGTGAGTTCGGTTCCCGGTACCGGAGAAAAACAAAAAACAAAAAACAAAAACAAAAAAAAAGATCTTCCTGTGGTTTCCACCCGGTTACTTCTCTCGCTGATGAGGTAGATGGACGATACGCTGTTCCGTTTATGTAGGACATCCGTACCTTCAAAGGATACTGATTTCCGCTCCTGGTGCCGGTGTTACTTAAGGTGACCACAGTGTCTCAGCAAGGACTTTAAAGCTCCCTGGAAACGGCTTTGCTAGAGCTAGTTTGTTCTGTGAAGTTTCTGTGTTTTGCATTCGCTTTACTTTGTGTTCCCAGTGTGGAGTGTTTCTGCTTGTCCTTCCTCATTTTATTCTGCACACTGGGTGCAGAGTGACCTTTGAGAATAAAAATAAGAACACATATTGGTGGCGTTGTACCAAGCTGTCTATGTGCATTTTCTCATTGAATCCTAACACTACTCCCCGAGGAAGATACTGTCCTCCTGCACCCCCTGCCTTATGCTCTAAAAATGGATTTAGGAGATCAGGGTATAAAAGTCTTGTCCCGAGGCCACAGCTAGTAGGTGGTAGAGTTGGGACTTACATGGGGACCTGACTCCCAGCCACACTCTTTTTTTTTTGGTTTTTCTCCGGTACCAGGAACCGAACTCACGACCTTGCGCTTGCCAGGCAGGCGCTTTGCCACTGAGCTAAATCCCCAGCCCCCAAGCCACACTCTTAACACTAAGTAAAACCACACCTTAGAGTAGAAATGGCTCTTCTGCACCCTGGCAGAAGTAGTGGAATAGTCCTTTCAAAGGGCATCCTCGTTTCTTCCTCTGGTTTCTCTGCCTCACCTGCCTGCTCACTTTCCCCTCTTCAATTCCAGGGAGCATGGCTACCTAGAAGCACTGCTGCTTTTTCTGCCTGGTACCCCTATCCCCACGTTTCAGCTCTCAGGGTGGACCTCACGTCCTCACTGTCCAACCCTGTGAAGGTAGATGGTGTCTGTCTCCGTATTTTCCTTCATCCCAGTCTTTCCCGCTCCATTAGCTCACTCTTCACTGTTTTGCAATGGGTGTTGCCTGCTCAGGCCCCTCGAGGGCACAGCATTTCTCAATCTCAGCACTGTTGCCATTTGAGGATGGGTAATTCTTAGTGTGGGAGCCACTCCTCTATTGCAGCACATTTATCAACGTCCTGGCCTCTGCCCGCTAGGAGGTTAGTGCCACCTTCCCCTAAACAAGCATGGTAATCAGAGGTGTCATCGCATATCCCCAAATGTGTCCCAGGGGAGCAGAGCCACTCCAGTTGACAGCCTTTTCTCTGGACAGCCTGTGAAAGGACAGGAGTGTGGCTTCATGTCTACTGCTGTAGCCACGGACCAAGCTCTATGTTGGGCACTTGGTGGGTGCTCCATAGGTATTTGTTGAAGGAGAAAAATGACATTGGCCACCTAGACGTGTGTGTCATGTGAGAAGCAGAAGAACGGAAGCTTTCCATAGTGCTCCCTGATTTAGCATTGTCACAACCTGCACGTGCCCCTCTTCACCCTTTAGCCATGCTAGAATTCAGTGTCCTTGTTACAAAGGCCAGAAAAAGGGCAGAGGGCTGTCCCTAGGTCATCAGTCAGCCCAAGGGCAGATCTATTGCCAGAATTTAAAATAGAGTCACCTACCCATATATTCACCTACCCTACACAGTTGGATCCATACTTTGAGGCTCTTCTTTCCACCCAAATATGGAATTCCCTTGTCTCAGGCTTTGTCTTGTTCTCAGCAGGCCAGGTTCTACTCGCTGGGCCATGTCCCGTCCTTCACCATTTCCTTTGTACATCTGTTTGATGTCCTCCTACTCCAAGAGTTTATTTTCAGACTGAGCATCTTCCAATTTTGTCTAGGAGTGGATCTGTGGATTTTTGTTACTAAGAGACCTTGAGACAACATTTAGGAGACAATAACTCTCTCAGCCACATGATTCCTGGCTGATGGGATCTAGCCAAACACATTTGGACACGGGTGTATGCTTCTCATGGCTGCTGTAACAAATCACACAACCTTGATGGTTTAAAACAACAGAACTTAGCCCTGCAGACCAGAAGTCCAAAACCAAGGATGTGGCAGGGCTGTGCTCCCTCCAAAGGTGGCATTGGATGCGCTCCTATTCCAGCCCCTTTCAACTGCTGTCCACTGCCTGCAGCCGTCAGCATTTCTTGGATTGTAGCCACATCACTCCAAAGGATATACATGATTTTATGTCAGGCCCCCTTGGACAGTCTTGGCTTTGCTTCTTTTCTTCAGATCCTTAATAACATCTTTTGCAGATAAAGTAATACAGATTAGTAATACAACTTCTAGGATTAGGATCTGGATGCATGTTTTGGAGAACCACCATTCAGCCCAGTTTGCTGGTCCTGGGACAACAGAACCCTCTAGGATGGGCAGTTGTCCCTCTGTCGGTGGTGGTCTTGGATAGTGCAAAAGTGATTATTATAGTGTGGTTTTCTATTCCAGATACATTGATGAAGGTTTATGTTTATTCTGATGGGTCAGGAGTGCCTTTCATCCAGATCCAGGACTTCAGCAGAGGAAGCAGCTGGAGGCAGTGGAGTGAGGCTGAGCTCGGAGGGTCCTGCACCTGGCTACCATGGTGGCCTTGGGTAATTCCTTTCTCCAGAGGGCCTGCTTCTTGAGCTAACAGTTGGTGACAGTTGTACTCATTTGGACAGATTCTTAGGAGATCTAAAATGTAGCGTGCCTAGAATGATAAGTCACAGTGTTTATTACAGTAACAAAAGCTAAAGGCTAGGCACCTATGTCTTCCTCACTTCTCTGTTAGATTCTGTGAGCTCAGCTCTTCATGCCAGAGTTAGAGAACCTCAGAAATCTAGATGTGGAAGACACTTGCCCATGGCCCAGGGACATAGTGACTCATCCAGGCTGTCCATTTCAACTGAAACTTAATGGCCTTCTGAAAATGACCTCCACTCTTCAGGGAGCCACAGCACTGGCTGGGGTGCTTTCTGTGGCATAGAAATGAGTTTTTAATTAAAGCCCTTTGGAAAGAGTCTAAGGAGTAACCTAAAAGTCTCTTGTGAATGGTGCCTGAGGCAAGTGCCACAGACCAGAGCTGGGATCGCTAATGAACAGGGCCATAGATTTGACTTCCTAAAGGATTTCTGTCTGAGGTTGGCTGCTGCTTCTCCCACCAAGGTCTGAGTGTGGTTTTCACCCCCAGGCCTGGGGCAGCGGCGGGGCCTGTTGTGAGTTCCAGGGAGAGACTGACAGGCAGCACTGCCAACTCTGCTGTAAAACTGGGGCATCTGTGAGCAGCACATCCATACCTTCATGCATCTGTCCACTCCGTCAGTGACTGTCTCTTGGGCTTTTACTTACATCAGATGTACTGGTAGGCACTGGCATGTGTGTGAAGGAAGCCAGCTTGGTTCTCATTCCTTTCTCTGAGCTCAATCCTGAGCTGTTTTGCAGGACACAGTTTTGAAAGAGTTTTGTGTGAGGATAATGAAAGAAGATATGCTAAGAATGCTGCCTGCATTTCTCCTTGAATCTGCCTGGGGGACAGAGATTGCTTTTATTTTTATTTTGCAGGGGCAGAAAGTAAGGCTCAGAGAGGGTAAGTAGCTTCCTCACAAGCAGATAACAGTATCTGGGAAACTAAACCTAAGATCTTCAGGAGCCTGCAGAGCTGGACTATGCCATGTCAAAGCCACAGGTCATTTGGGTGGCCGGAGGTAGGTGGAGGGCAGAGCTCACCAGAGGCTTTGGGGGCCAGGTAGAAGCTTATGCTGCAAGACAACCTGGTATGCCTCCTGCCTTCTCTGTGCAGGAGTTTTTGCTTTCTCGTTCTGATTTTGGGATCTATAACCATGATAAAAGATAGTTGATCATTGCATGGATTAAACCATTTTGGACTCAGCACTACAAGTTAAAGAATCCTCGACTTGGAAGAAATTCAAAGTATATCAGTATGTATTAGGTATTGTAATACACATTATATAGTTGTGTCAGTGTTTACTAGAGAAACAGCTATAACACAAGATATACAAATATGTAAGAAATTACAAGATTGGCTTACAATGGCCACTCACAGAGTCGGATGAGGAAGAGTGCAGAGGGTGTGTGCACACTGGAGACCAAAGGATTCAGCTGAAGGTCTAGAGCTCACTGCAGTGTCCTGTAGGAAATCCATTAC